GAGTTCAATACCCGGTTGATGCAGTGGAGAACTTTCAGAGGGAAATTAACAGGAGATAACTGATAACTGACATCCATTAAGCATGGCACGTGGTACTAGAACAGTCTACCCCAGTGAGCGAAATAAAGGGTTCAGTTCGACATTCCAACTATCTGAAGAAGGCCGGAGCGTACAACGGCCAAAACGTTGTAATAAATATGGCGAGAAAGTTGAGGACAATAGTCCGAATAATGTAAATAGTGTACATAATACTTCATTTCAGAAATATAGACAGATACTTAAGGGCCGAAACGTTGTGATAAATATGGCGACAAAGATGAGGACAATAGTCCGAATAATGTAAATAGTGTACATAATACCTCATCTCAGAAACATAGACAGTTATTTCAATCCCTAGAAAATTATCTTAATGAGATCTTCAGTTCCCTGTAAGCCTGTAAAAACGTTTCATCGCCCTGCAAAATGACAATTTTTGAGAGGATGGAATCAAGATGCTACGAGAAAGACGTCGAAAAGTAGTGAACCAAAAAGGTAGACATGTGGTTGGTTAAGTGTATGTGCAAATATCTAAGTGTTGTCTTTGAAATTCGCTTAAAAATAAACACCACATACTTTTAATCCGATCCATTAATTAACTCTTTGTTCCATGTAAAAAAGAATTTAAATTTTTTGAACCAAAAGTGCAAATCATTAAAAATCGCCCATGGAAAAGAAAAAATAAATACATTAACAGCCAATATTACCTCCTTAGTGATAAGATATTGCATAGTGTTATTCGCATATTGGCATCGAGTAATGACAACCCCCTTTAACTATGGAAAGAAATAACTCATTAATTCCACTAGGGAAGATGAGGATGCGTGACCGATATGCAAATTCACATTGTGTCTCATATAGAATAGATATTCAGTTAGAACTTAATGCTAGTGAAGCATCTTTATACGTATGTATGAGGTAGACAATAATATTTTTCTTATTCCATGCTTATCTATCTATCTATCTGAGTCTGTTCATATCTATCTATCTATCTATCTATCTATCTATCTATCTATCTATCTATCTATCTATCTATCTATCTGAGTCTGTTCATATCTATCTATCTATCTATCTATCTATCTATCTATCTATCTGAGTCTGTTCATATCTATCTATCTATCTATCTATCTATCTATCTATCTATCTATCTGTCTGAGTCTGTTCATCTATCTATCTATCTATCTATCTATCTATTCCATCTATCTATCTATCTATCTATCTATCTATCTATCTATCTATCTAAGTCTGTTCATATCTATCTATCTATCTATCTATCTATCTATCTGTCTGTCTGTCTGTCTGTCTGTCTGTCTATCTGAATCTGTTCATATCTATCCATCTACTTTTTTATTTTATTTTTTTTCTTGTTCTTACTATAATAATGCCTGAGAACATTTTTACTGACCTCTGATATTAGAATAAATGTGAACTCAATTTTAGCATGATAGAGTATTTCCTATCTGTCTATGTTTCTTTTTCGGAAAGTACGAGATCGCCCGACATCGTACATGTCAGACTGACCTGGAAGATTTATGAACTAAAAACGAGCCACGACAGTGAACACTGCAGCCATGGACTAATTGCTTGCGTAATAATAATAGTAGTAGTTGACGTTGGCTCATTCTTTTCGCTCAAGGATCAGCGGAGGAGGATCTACGACTCTTCTATTGGCCTCGCATCCTGCTTGCTGTAGTTGTTTCGAGAGATCAGCTAGCTGATATCGAATTCACCCTTTCGGCTTAGTGTCCTTCCTCAGAACTCAGTGTGCAGAGATGGCCAAGGCGACTGTTAAGAGGAAACGGCCAAGGCGACTGCCGGTTATTATATATATATATATATATATATATATATATATATATATATATATGTCAGAGTAACCTTCTCTTGGGATCTGCGACTAAAAGCGCCGGTAAACGTTACGCTTATCGGCACGGAAGTCAGAATCAACGATCTGATTTCAAATTCCAGCCTCATCTGTTTCATTCTCTTTAGCACTAATAACCTTGGGAAAGGCACGAAACAATCTTCCCCACACACACACTCACACAAAAAAAAAACTATAAAAAAAACAAACAAATGGTTTAATAGCAGGGTAATCTGTACTTTCTAGTCTTTGTTGGCAACTAGTCTATGAGAAAAACAAGTTTGGATTTAAAATAATGGAGAAGACAATCAAAATACACTCTGCTATATTTTCCAAGAATTCAATGCAATTCACAGATACTCCAGAAAAAGGAAACTGTGATTAGCCATGATTGCCTACGTCTTAAAGACAAGTGATATTTAGAAAAAATATTTTAGCCGGAGGTGCAGAATGGTCGAACTGATGTCTTTGGAAAAGCTATGATTCATTATTCACCAGCAGATCAGGCCAGGGATTACTCTCTGTTGCAGCTGTTCAGTCCTTCATGGTTGAAGTGTTTAATTCCTAACCCGGTCTTAAAGAAGAACAATTTTGAATTCTAAACCCTGGAAAATGCTACGGAAAACCACTCCATTATTTTTACCAAGAATGCATGTCAGTTTACCGATAAATAAGGGGTACCTATGGAGAGTGATGATAGTTTGTTCTTTCATACTAAATACAAATTCTGTCTGGAATAGTACTACCAGTGCGAATTTTTCAGTTTATAAAAGAAGCGTGTGGATTCAAATAAATGTTCCTGGAACAAAATAATCGTGTCGTAGAAAAATATTTTAAAAATAATAAGAGATCTGTGGCCGCTCGTATCCGAGCATGGCATGTCTGTTCACTAGAGTGGCTAAATGTTGCAGACGGTTTCCCAAGTGCACTTGCGTTTGTTCAACACCCCAAGAACCAATCTGTTCTATTTACGGCAACTATAGACGGATTCATTTTCTACGGCTTATCAACCCTTTATAGGTTATATAAAATCAGAAAATACTTTTAGACTGTAAAATTTCTTTTTACGAGATAATAATGATTTAGTGAGACAAATCTTAATAATTAACCCATAGCTGGGGAGAGAAGAGGTGGATCCATACCCTTCCCAAGGTTAATTGCGCGTAAGTGAATATAACGAACCCAACGGGAATTAGAATTAACAATTCCAAGTTATTATTCATTACACCACCCGCACATCCAAGCATAGAGCACCTGTTATTTCCAAGCGGCTACCCATCTAGGTACTGGCCAGGCTTGATGTTGCTTAACTTCGTTGATCGTACGTGAACCGCTGTTAGTGCAACTATAGATGTGCGGAATTTAGGTACAGTTTCCGTGAAAGAGCACATCATCTGGTGTGATCGACATTTTGAAGAAGGCCTGTACAATCACGCCGAAACCTTCGGTCACGATGACGTGTCACCAGACAATCATTGACAAATTCCGAACAGTTCCATCGACCAAATTTCACTCACAGAGGTTTGGTTAACTTCCCAACGGTGAGATTTTTATCAAGAAGTAACCTCCCTAAGAGATTGATCATCGTGAGATTCGAACACGGGACTCATAATCATATCGCTAACGTTCTAACTATTTAGTCACGCGCACATTATAATAAAAAAGACTATAATATTAAAGAGCAAATAAGGACTCTGCCGGGAAGAGGGAACTGAAGCCAATAATTTAATCGGACTGACACTTGTATTTAGTATACAAGATTGATTGATTTGACTTTTTTACGGTTTGTCAACCATTTGCCGGTTATTTAAAGCCATGAAATATTTTTATATTATAAGAATTTTTACGAGATAATAATGTTCTTAACTGATACAAGTTCTAATAATTAACCCATAGTTGGGGAAAGAAGAGTTAGATTCATAACTTTCTCAAGGGCATTTTCGCCTACATGAAACACGACGAACTCGACTGAAACTGGAACTCGGCTCTCCGATTTCCAAATTCCGTCCCGGTATCTATTATACCGCCACCCGTGCATCCAAAAATTGCTACACTTCGGTGATCGTACGAGAATCTGTGTTTCAACGTGATATTGCAGTAATCAATGCCTGCCGTACATCCAGCCTTACGGCGAGTGGTATTCACAAGCAGTCACCCATCTAGCAACTGACCAGGCTCGACGTTGCTTAACTTCGGTGATCGTACGAGAATCTGTGTTTCAACGTGATATTGCAGTAATCAATGCCTGCCGTACATCCAGCCTTACGGCGAGTGGTATTCACAGGCAGTCACCCATCTAGCAACTGACCAGGCTCGACGTTGCTTCACTTCGGTGATCGTGACAGAATCTGTGTTTCAATGTGATATGGCAGTAATCAATGCCTGCCGTACATCCAGCCTTACGGCGAGTGGTATTCACAAGCAGTCACCCATCTAGCAACTGACCAGGCTCGACGTTGCTTAACTTCGGTGATCGTACGAGAATCTGTGTTTCAATGTGATATGGCAGTAATCAATGCCTGCTGTACATCCATCCAGCCTTACGGCGAGTGGTATTCACAAGCAGTCACCCATCTAGCAACTGACCAGGCTCGACGTTGCTTCACTTCGGTGATCGTACGAGAATCTGTGTTTCAATGTGATATGGCAGTAATCAATGCCTGCCGTACATCCAGCCTTACGGCGAGTGGTATTCACAAGCAGTCACCCATCTAGCAACTGACCAGGCTCGACGTTGCTTAACTTCGGTGATCGTACGAGAATCTGTGTTTCAATGTGATATGGCAGTAATCAATGCCTGCTGTACATCCAGCCTTTTTCACGGCGAGTGGTATTCACAAGCAGTCACCCATCTAGCAACTGACCAGGCTCGACGTTGCTTAACTTCGGTGATCGTACGAGAATCTGTGTTTCAATGTGATATGACAGTAATCAATGCCTGCTGTACATCCATCCAGCCTTACGGCGAGTGGTATTCACAAGCAGTCACCCATCTAGCAACTGACCAGGCTCGACGTTGCTTAACTTCGGTGATCGTACGAGAATCTGTGTTTCAATGTGATATGGCAGTAATCAATGCCTGCTGTACATCCATCCAGCCTTACGGCGAGTGGTATTCACAAGCAGTCACCCATCTAGCAACTGACCAGGCTCGACGTTGCTTAACTTCAGTGATCGTACGAGAATCTGTGTTTCAATGTGATATGACCGTAAGCCATGCCTGCTGTACACCTAGCCTTACGCCGAATGGTATTCCCAAGCAATCACCCATCAAGTAACTGACCAGGCTCGACGTTGCTTCACTTTGGTGATCGTACGAGAGCCTTTATTATACAAGAGTACGCTGTGAATGTACATCGCATAACAAAGGCAAATATTTGTATACTGCAAGCATGATACGTTCGTCCTTTTTTGTTTTAGTTCTATGTTTTAAAATGATCTGATAGGCAACAGTTTCTTTTATTTTTATATTCAACGATATCTTTCTTCTTTTTGTGTTTATTTAGAACAGACCGTACAGTTACCGAAGAAATTGAAATCCTAGGCTGGACAATTCCAAAGAATGTTAATCTAATCATTCCAATTTACAGTATTCACCATGATCCAGATATCTGGCCAAATCCTGAAAAATTCGACCCCGAAAGGTATATGTTTATTATTATTATCATTATTATTATTATTATTATTATTATTATTATTTTTATTTCCTTTGATTTCTGGCGTTTACACATTTCTTTCCGGGTCCCGCCCAGGGACCTAAGGTTAGAAATGGCATCATGACACTTTCCACTGACAAAAAAAAAATTACATAGATAAAGCCCTTTGTAAAGTGTGGGCTGTACTTGTGAGAACAATTTTTTGTATCTCTTTGAGGCATGGGCTTCCAGGAATCCCTTCAATTAGTCTACTGCAATCTTTTCCAACCAGTCCTATGGCTCCAACTACAACAGGGATTGTTGATGTTCCCATATGCCACATTTTCGAGATTTCTATTTCAAGGTCCTTGTATTTTGACAACTTTTTGAATATCTTCAAAGATACATTGCAGTCTGCAGGGACTGCCATATCAATAAGGAGGCACTTTTTTTTGTTTGTGGTCTTTATTAACATTATCTGGGCGGTTGGCTTTGATTGTTCTGTCAGTGTGTATTGTGTAGTCCCATAGAATTGTAACAGATCCTATCTCCGTAACCGGGCCTGGGTGGTGTTCATACCATTTTCTTTCAGTTTCCTTCCCGTAGAAGTTGCAGATTTTCCAGTGCAGATATTGGCCCAGTCTGTCATGCCGGGTTTTATATTCAGTGGGTGCCAATGTCGTGCAACCTGACACAAGATGATCAATCGTTTCTGGATATTTATCACAGAATCTGCATTTTGGGCTGACACAATATCTTAGTACATGTGCTTGATAATTCCTAGTTCGCAAGCATTGGTCCTGTACAGCAAGGATGAAACCTTCAGTTTAAGCTTTCAACCCTGCACTACGTAGCCACCTGATGGGTACGGATTTTGTCTACGTCAACTTGTTTGGTACGGGCAGAGTATTGGCCATGAAGCGGTTTACTTGCCATCGCTTCTGTATCTGGTTGTTTGCATTCGTCTTTGCTGTCTTTTTTAGGTATTTTGCAGTTTCAGCCGGTGTATTGTGCTGTAGTTGCATCTCTACGCCCATTTGAAACTCCATCTTGAATTTGTTGGCTTCTTTCATTACGGAGTAAAGACGCTTACTACTTTCATGTTCCTTGACGCATACCATCATCCAGTCTTCTGTAGTTTCCAAATATCTTTGGAGGCCAATTGTTGTAGTTTTGTAGGACAGTTCTAGTTGAACTAATCCTTCGCCTCCTTCGGATCTGGGTACATACAGACGATCAACATCAGCTTTGGGATGACGCATGCGATAGCAAGTGAAAAGCTTTCTCATTTTGGCGTCCATTCGCTTAATTTCAGCTATGGTCCAGTTAAGGACATTAAAGCTATAATGCTCCACAGGGACAGCCAATGTGCTTATGGCTGATATCCTGTTTTTTGAGTTTAGCTCAGTATTTAGTACCAGACGTACACGCCTGTGGTACTCTTTTCTTATTTTTTCCTACATTTGGAGGTGTTGTATGCCATCTCCTTCGCTAATTCCTAGGTACTTATAAACTTCATCATGCTCCAGTTCCTTTATTATTATTATTATTATTATTATTATTATTATTATTATTATTTCTTCCTTGGATTTCTGTTGTATAAACATTTGCTTCTGGGTAATTAATTATTATTATTATTATTATTATTATTATTTCTTCCTTTCGTTTCTGTTGTATAAATATTTACTTCTGGGTAATTATTATTATTATTATTATTATGATCATCATTATTATTATTCCTTCCTTGGGTTTCTGTTGTATACACATTTGCTTCTGGGTAATTATTCTCAATATTATTATGGGTAATTATTATTATTATTATTAATAATATTATTATTATTATTATTTCTTCCTTGGGTTTCTGTTGTATGCACATTTGCTTCTGGGTAATTATTATTAATATTATTATGGGTAATTATTATTATTATTAATATTATTATTATTATTTCTTCCTTGGGTTTCTGTTGTATGCACATTTGCTTCTGGGTAATTATTATTAATATTATTATGGGTAATTATTATTATTATTAATATTATTATTATTATTTCTTCCTTGGGTTTCTGTTGTATGCATATTTGCTTCTGGGTAATTATTATTAATATTATTATGGGTAATTATTATTATTATTAATATTATTATTATTATTTCTTCCTTGGTTTCTGTTGTATGCACATTTGCTTCTGGGTAATTCTTCTTTTTTTTCTTCTTCTTCTTCTTCTTCTTCTTATTATTATTATTATTATTATTATTATTTCTGTCAGAAATAATAAATATATTTCTCATTACAAGTCCGCCTTTCTAGAATACTTGTCGAGCATCAAATATATTTTTCAATCCAATCTCGTTAATCACTGAACTCCTGAAGCTACTCGACCTATTAAAAAATCAATATTAAAAATCCTTTTTCCATTATCTTCTTCTTCTATGTGCTGTGTCTTTGTAGCTCTTAGTAAAGAAAAATATACCCTTTTCCGCTGTTAGATTCAATCACTTTCTTGAGTAGAGCTTCAAAAATGAAAATAAGAAAAATAAAAAAAAAAATAAATAAATACTAAATACTAGCTGGTCAAAAGTTTAAGACCCCACCTAAAAGAAATCCTAAACAGAATAAGAAATGCTCAACAAGCCATCTTTCTAGTAAGTTGCATGGTCGTCATTGTAAAAAACTTCGCTTTGTTGTACGGTCGATATAATCGCCTGCAGAAGGATGTCTGGAATGTTATTCCAAGTGGTGAAGATGGCTTCACAAAGACCATGCACTGTTTGGAATTGATACCCATTTCTATAGACATCCCTCGCCATTCACTCCAAACTTTTTCAGTGTGGTTCAGGTAGAGTGAACACGTTGTATGTTCCAAAAAAATTATTCGCTATGAAAACGTCATTTGTCCTGCGGGCATTATGCATTTCAGTGTTGTCCTGCGGGCATTATGCATTTCAGAGTTGTCTTGCTGAAAGATCCAGTCATTTCCACACAAGCGAGGGCCTTCAGTCAATAAGGACGCTCTCTCCAACATGTCAATGTAACCAGCCGCGGTTTGATACCCCTGTATAACCTGAAGCTCCATTGTTCCTTGGAAGGTGATAGCACCTCAGATCATGAGGAACCACCTCCACTGTCGCGTAAAAAATATTCTTATCGTGCCAGTAACGTTGGAAGCCATCTCGATCATTCAGGTAAAATGCTTTATCATCAGAGAACAAAACCTTCTTCCACTTTTCTATGTCCCATGTTTGGCGTTTCTCAGCAAAGTTTAACCAAACTGCTTTGTGTTTTAGAAGGAGGCGTGGACTTTGAAGTCGTTTACGGTTTTTAAAGCCTTTCCCTTGAAGATGTCCTCTTAACGAATGTAACACAGGATATACCAGTGGAAGATGTTGATTGCGCTCATGCTTGAATACAAATGACTAATTTTCGTTACATGTTTACCAATTAAAACTTCGTTTAAATATGGCCTTGAACTTTTCACCAGCGACAATTTAGCCCAATTTTTCACTATTCAACTTCACCCTATTAAATAATAAACATGTTTTTAATTTAAATTTTTATGTGGAACTCTCTTTCGGGTTCTTGTACCCCTGTCACCTACGATCTTCAAAAATTTAAGTGTAACATCTATCGCCATCTTCTCATTTCCTTGAATCCTGTTCTTTTATTGTCCCTGCTCCTGGCTAACGTTTCCTCATTTACTTACACTTTCAGTAACCTTTTTTCGTTTGAGTGGCTTTATCGCCTTGTTTGGGATGAAATTATAAATACATGTAATAAATTCCAAAGCTCTATTTATGGTGATTAGGAAGAGTAAATGCGATTTGCAGGCCGGGAACACTAGAATCAAGCAGACGCGGAAGTTTAAATATCTGGGAAGCGTTCTGACAGAGGACGGTAAATGCAACACTGAGATCCATAGACGTATTGGGATGGCGAAGGGAACATTCCAAAAGCTGGGCAGAGTATTGCGAGACAGGAGGATTTCTTTGGTAACAAAGAAAAGAATACTGAGCTGTTACGTGACATCTGTCCTTCTTTACGGCAGCGAATGTTGGACGATTTCCTCAAAGATGAAGAAGAGACTCGAGGTGACATAGATGTGGTTCTACAGAAGGATGCTAAGGATATCACGGACCGAGCGTGTGAGCAACGATGAGGTCTTAGAGAAGATGAAAACAAGGAAAGAGACAGCTGAAGTTTCTGGGACATGAGGAAGGAATCTGATACTCACGGGTCAAATAGAGGGAAAGAGAGACAAGGGAAAGCAGCGCGTGACATACTTAGCAGCTTTAAGCAAAGTGGATGACAGAACGTGGTCTGGGGGAGGAAGCCGAGGGAAGGAAGGTGTTGAGAGCTGCAAGGGATAGAGGGACGTGGAGAGCCATGATCTCCTGCGTCCTGAAAGGACACGGCAAATAGAAGCTTAGATGTGGCACAAAGCCGAGGGTATGGGAGCACCTAATGAGAATCAAACTCCCTACTCAGTCTTAATTGTTCTAGCGATGCAATATTTATTTCCTTAAAATTACAGAAAATGTGGCACAAGGCCTAAAAAGGGGGGGCGGGGAAAGGACGGTCTTCTTCT